TTTATAAGGGAGAAAAGGGAGAAGGGAAACATACAATACATTGAATGCAAATACAAGGAAACTTCCTAGCAACTTCTTTACACGAATCCAAAGGAATAATGACCACTTATTGATGTCTTCTTGTTGGGGAGAAAAGAAACACAAGGGTTGTACTTGTGGGGTGGGGATTTTCGGCTATAAGTGGAGGATAGGATGTGGGAATGCAAGCCATTTCTTTGTGGGTTTTGGGGAGGTAATTTCAGCCAAGGGGAAAGGATTTAAAAGGGGAAAGGATGGGCTGTTTTGGAGGTATTTCCTGGGCAGTTTGTGGGGGAAGCAAAGGAGGGTTGATTGGTGTGGGTGTGGGCCATTGTGTCTTGGGTTATAGTAGGTGTTTGTTCAGCCTAGTTGGGGAACACAATGGGAAACAAGGATGGGGTTATGACATGGGTTTGAAGGGGGGTTTTGGCTGGTTATTTTCGGCCATAATAGGGAGAGAAGGGAGTGTTTGTTTAGGCTATGATTTGGGGTGGGTTTTGGCCTTTAGTGTATGAATGTAATGCAGGACAAATGTGGGGTTTAAGGGGTGTGGCGGTGTGTTGGTTTTGAGGGGGATTTTTGGCCAACCAAGGAAAAGGGTGAAGGGATACATTTATTTGGTAAACAAAAGACTTTGAAGGATGAAAACAACATTCTAAGGTTTTATTGGTCTTCTTACTTCTTATTTTTGGCCATAGGTAGAAAATAGGTCGGGAAGACTTTATTTTGAAAAACAAAACAAGGTGAAATACTTTTGGATGTTTTAGGAGAGGTTTGGTTTAGGTGGAGCCATCCAGGGGTATAACATACTCCCCTTCTTGAAAGAAAGTTTGTCCTCAAACTTTCGCAGCACCGTGGGAGATTGCAGGGGTATAAAAGTATTCCCGGATCAAATGGGAAACTTAATGAATCACCAATATTGAAGTTCACTCCGGACTTAGTTTGCACCTCGTAGTGTAATTTCCAAAATATGATGGCAGCCTTGGTTAGAACCTGCTTCACATATCCTTCAAAGATGAAATAAGATTCTTCTTCACCAATTGGATGATAATACTCCGCGGAATTTAATTCCTTAGAATATATAACATCCAGTGTAGTTTCTTCCACCACAACCTCAGAATCTGGTTCTTTAACGAAGATGTCATTTTCATCTTTGACTTGAAAATTAGAGATGTCTTCAACAATGACAAACTGGTCGTTGAAGCTTTTCTTTTCCTCTTTACGAATTGTTTCTTCAATTAAAACTTCTGCACGTGAAGCTTCTTCTTTAATTTTGGCCCATTCTTCATATGGTACGGCATGTTCATTTGGGCATATCCAATAGATATGACCATAGCCACAACACTTGTAGCACCTTTGAGTTGACCCTTGCAAGATAGCCTCATTGGCGTAGATGATCTCCAGATTTTTGAGGTATCTTTGGACATCCATATCTCAACAACCAGAGATCGGAATGATGTAATTCCAACTCTCGGAGTTAGATATTGAAGTCCTTAAAGACATATCAAAAATTTAAAAGCATTGAAAATCATTTGATGCTCCGTTGGAGGTCAAATGAGTAAGGTAGCCAGACTGTTGGCAGAATCGTGTCTTTAACTTCGAATGGACGTATCTCCCAAACCGTAAGTCGGAATTGAGTGAAATCAGCGGCCAGACGTAGCTAAAAGAGCAAACTTCCAAAATCGAAATTTTTACCTTAAAATCAATTGTGTATCCTCCTCCGTTATCAAATCTTTGGAGCTGAAAGTTTCTGGAAAATTTTCAGAAACTTTGCTAGTGCAGCGTTTGCGTCGCCGGTCCTTCGGGTAGTCGTCGAGACTTAAGAAAGTCGTCGAAGCTGAGCTTTGATACCAGATGTTAGGGGTGAACCGGGGGTCTTATCAAGTTGATAATTTAGTGGCGGATTTGCGGAGGAAAATGGAAGGGAAATAGTGGGCGAAAGTATGGAGGGTGTTTTAGGAGTTCTTTTTGGTATTTTATGGAAGAAAAGAATAGGATTAAGGATAAATGGAGGGATATGAAATGGAAGAAAAATCAGGGATGGATAAAACCAAGTTGGTGTTAAGAGATATTACACACTCTTATCCTAACTTGGGGTTTGAATCTAGAATTTAATTAAGATATGACACACTTAATCAAATATCTAGAACCTAAAACTCACACTTAAGATAACCACTCTTAAGATATAGAATTAGGAATTTGGCTAAAATGGCATCACACTATTTTAAGAATACTCAAAGAGTAAACAAAGTTTAATATTCAAGGGTTGTGTATTACAATGGCCATATGGCCGAATTTATAAGGGGGAAAAGGGAGAAGGGAAACATACAATACATTGAATGCAAATACAAGGAAACTTCCTAGCAACTTCTTTACACGAATCCAAAGGAATAATGACCACTTATTGATGTCTTCTTGTGGGGATTTTCGGCTATAAGTGGAGGATAGGATGTGGGAATGCAAGCCATTTCTTTGTGGGTTTTGGGGAGGTAATTTCAGCCAAGGGGAAAGGATTTAAAAGGGGAAAGGATGGGCTGTTTTGGAGGTATTTCCTGGGCAGTTTGTGGGGGAAGCAAAGGAGGGTTGATTGGTGTGGGTGTGGGCCATTGTGTCTTGGATTATAGTAGGTGTTTGTTCAGCCTAGTTGGGGAACACAATGGGAAACAAGGATGGGGTTATGACATGGGTTTGAAGGGGGGTTTTGGCTGGTTATTTTCGGCCATAATAGGGAGAGAAGGGAGTGTTTGTTTAGGCTATGATTTGGGGTAGGTTTTGGCCTTTAGTGTATGAATGTAATGCAGGACAAATGTGGGGTTTAAGGGGTGTGGTGGTGTGTTGGTTTTGAGGGGGATTTTTGGCCAACCAAGGAAAAGGGTGAAGGGATACATTTATTTGGTAAACAAAAGACTTTGAAGGATGAAAACAACATTCTAAGGTTTTATTGGTCTTCTTACTTCTTATTTTTTGCCATAGGTAGAAAATAGGTCGGGAAGACTTTATTTTGAAAAACAAAACAAGGTGAAATACTTTTGGATGTTTTAGGAGAGGTTGGGTTTAGGTGGAGCCATCCAGGGGTATAACAGTATCAGAGTCATAATTTTCTCAAACCCAAAAACCCTAACCCTACCACCTCTATCTCTCTCTCGGCGTGCTCTCCTCCAGCTGCACAGCCGCTGCCTCCCTCTCCTCGGCGGACTGTCTCCGGCGCAACACAGCCCACCCTCCCGACATCGGCAACCCCCCCTCCTCTCTCAATATGTCTTCCTCTGACAAAACTACAGAAAACTCAACCTCTTCATCCTCCTCCAATCCCCCTCATCTTGCTTTCACCACAATCTCCAATGTCAAGCTTCATGTCCCATTACATAAGCTTCTCTCAGCCCAACTACAAGAAGTGGAGCCGGCTTTTTCTTCTCCTGGTATGCCGGTTTACTCTCCACGGCTTTCTCTCGGGTTCTACATCTCCCTCCTCTGCCGATGATGATGAATGGTTCCAACTTGACGCCCTGGTCAAAGGATGGATTCTCTCTACCATCTCTGATGAAGTCAGATCTGGTTATCTCCATCACCTCCACCGCCGCTGAACTATGGCGGGTTATTCATGCACTTTTCCATGACAACAAGCACGCTTGAGCGATGCAACTCGAGCACCAGTTTCGAACCACTGTCAAGGGTTCGATGACCATGGCTACGTACTGTCAAACCTTGCGGAACATTACTGATTGGTTGGATGACGTTGACGCCCCGGTCTCTGAATCTCAACTTGTGCTCCAAATGCTTCGCGGGCTACCCGAAGATCTCCAGGCTCATACATCGTTCCTACAATTCCAACAACCGCTGCCCACGTTTCTTCAGACACGATCTGCCCTTCTGCTCCAAGATCGGCAATGGCAAACCATCACGGACGACGCCGGGACGGCCCTCCTGGCTGGCCGAACCGGCGGCCCACCTTACGGCACCAGAAGCGGCGGCTTTGGGCGTGGCAGTGGCTCGCCTGGCAGCGGGCACAGCGGCGGCAGTGGCGGCCGCGGGCAGTAGGGGCGCAACTACGACCGTGGTGGAGGCGGACGTGGACGTGGACGAGGAAGAAACTCTGGCTTGCAACGACACCCGCATGACGGCTACGTACCTTGGAACTCACCGCATCCCAACCCGGGCTCGGGTCTCCTCGGCCCGCGTCCACCCTACCCAACCCAA